TTTGCTGACAGCTGAAATGTCAAACTGTGATTTATTAGGCAAAACCTTTAATCAAACACTGTTATGTTTGATTTAATAAACTGGTAAGTCAAACCGAGATCTAGAAAACCTTTATCTTGAAAGTAAGTAAGCCTCTCTAAATGAACCTCTCTCTCTCTCTCTCTCTCTCTCTCTCTCTCTCTCTCTCTCTCTCTCTCTTGCCCTCTCTAGTTACGGGGACCATGTGCAGCACTTTAAGGTTTTGAAAGATGGACTAGGGCAGTTCTTCATATGGGATGAAGTCTTCAGCTCCCTCAAACAGCTGGTGGACTTCTACAAAATCAACAGCATTGCCAAAGAGAGAACTGTCTTCCTGAAAGAGCCTGAGGGATCATTAGCTGTAAGACTTGTCACATGTATAAGAGCACATGATGTTTTTTTACAGAGGTGCCAAAATTTAACTCTGGTGAACTCTGATCTGCAAATTTGCGATGCGAAAGGATGTCTGACCAATAAAGGTTATAAAATGAAACGTTGATCTCTTGGCTCAATGCACAATGCACACCTACATGGATTGAGCTTGACATCATATTCTGTTGCTGATATTTGTTATGATCTCTTTGAGCCAAATGCGACCCCTCCTTAATCAGTATATCATTGCTGAGTTTAGAGGTAGTTAAAGGTTAGAGTTGAGCTTTGGGATAGGGTTACCTATGGATGCCAGTTTTCACAGAGTTATTTTGTTTGTTTATTTCTCATAAATTGTGAATTTATATCTAACAATTGTGTCAGTGTTTTTTCAGAACTTACAATTGCAACTATATTTCTCCTGAATTTAGTTTTTTTTCTTTAATTGCAACTTTGTTTTGTGACTTTATTTCTCATAGTCATTACTTTATAACTCACAGTTTTGGCAACTGTTTTTTCACAAATGTAACCTTTTTCTCATAATTGAATTTTTTTTCTTGTAATTGTGACTGTATCTCACAATTGCAACTTTATTTCTTCTGAATTTAGATTTTATTTCTCATAATTTACTTTGTTTCTTACATTTGCGACTTTATTTCTGACAGCCATGACTTTATATCTCACAGTCGTGACTTTGTTTCTTACAATTATTACTTTTTTTCTCGTAATCGTGACTGTATCTCACAATTGCAAATTAATTTCTCCTACTTTTTTATTTAATTTCTTCTAATTGTGACTGTTTCTTACATTTGTGACTTTATTTCTGACAAGCATGACTTTACATCTCACAACTGTAGAATCTTCATCATAATTGAGACGTTTTTCTGATATTTTGAACTTTTTTTCCTGTAATTGTGACTGTATGTCCCAATTGCAACTCTTTCTCCTAAATTTCAGTTTTATTTCTTGTAATTGCAACCTTTGTTTCTACATTTGCGACATTATTTCTGATAAGCATGACTTTATATCTCACAACTGTGGCAACTTCATAATTGAGACCTTGTTCTCATAAATGCCATTTTTTCTTGTAATTGTGACTGTTTCTTACAATTGCAAATTAATTTCTCCTACATTTTTATATTATTTCTTCTAATTGCAACTTTGTTCCTTAAATTTGCGACTTGATTTCTGACATGCATGACTTTACATCTCACAAATGTGTTTTTGTGAGACGTTTTTTCCCATAATTGCAACTTTTTTCCTGTAATTGTATCTCACAATTACAACTTTTCTCCTAAATTTTAATTTTATTTCTTCTAATTGCGACCTTTGTTTTTTACATTAGCAACTTTATTTTTGACAGTCGTAACTTTATATCTCACAATTGTAGCAAATTTTCTCCTAATTGCAACTTTTTTCTTGTAATTATGACTGTATTTCACAATTACAACTTTATTTCTACTAAATTTCAATTGTATTTCTTCTAAGATTGAAAAATATGTTTTCATAATTACAGTTATTTTCTCATGATTGTGACTATTGCAACTTTATTTCTCCTGAATTTAGATTTTATTTCTTGTAATTGCGACTTTATTTCTCATAGTCATGTCTTTAAATCAAACAATGTGACTTTCTAACACGTATTGTTACTCTGAGGTGGAAACAAGCTTTCGTAGGTAGGACTATGTTTTGTTTGACTGCTGATCCAGTGCACAGTCTTGCCATGTCCGTCATTTGTGTGTGTTTCTGTTTCAGAGGCCACGTCATGCCCATGCCCTCTTTGACTTCACATCTAATCATGCGACTCATCTACGTTTCTTGCGCGGTGATGTCATCGACCTGCTCGACTGTTCGGATGCTCAGTGCTGGAGGGGGCGGTGCCGTGGAAGAGTAGGCGTATTTCCACCAGAGTATGTGCAGCCAATTTATCACTGAATTTCAGCTATGTGTGTCACCATCCTGTACAGTCAAACTCACTGGATGAGAGCCCAAGACATATTCATCAGTCACACATATTCTTCATAAATCTGAAGGTAAACTAAGCCTTATTCATCAATGTTTGGTGTATCAGGTGATTATGGTTTTTAAGGCTTAAATTTAACCTTATGTGTCAAAGGTCAACCTTTGCCCATCATCTTCTTTGTTGATCGCTGTCAGAAGGCAAATCAGAAATCAGTTATAACTTGTCAATAAACCAGTTTTATAACACCTTTAATGAACATAACAATTGGCTATGCAGTGTCATCATTTACTCATTGATCAGCCATTATCTGAGCTTCCTGTCTATTCTTCTTTCAAATACTTTAAAGTCCTTTCAAATAAAGGTATGCCATTAGAATTGGAGTATCCACCTTGCATTTTATTTGCACTTTCGCTCACTGATGCATTATCATGTCTTTTTTTTTTTTTTTCAAGCAGAAGTGAGCCAGACCTACTATGTATTTCTTTTATTCAATATAAAGTTCTACATACATGAGCTTGGGAAATATTATATTTGTTTTATTATTATTTTTTCTTTATTGTGCTTACGCCATAAACATACTTTTGAGGATTACTAATGACAATTTTTGTGATTTAAAAAATTTATTTATTTCTGTGAAATTACTTTCTCCAGTCCCAGATTAATATGCAGAGAAACTTTAAATCATTTGCATGTTAATTTCTCTGTAAAAACTGTGGCTTCCTGGTGCTATCTAAACATTTGCTCAACCAATGATGTAAGTTTGGGATGGGGCTATCATTTTGATCATCCAATGGCAGATTGGGTGAGAACACCTGTCACATTTATTTTTGTAATTCTGTTTAATGCCACATAAATTACACACTTTACCTTTTTTTTCATTTATTTGATTTTGATTTTTTACTGTAATGTTGAAATAATGACCATAATTAATTTAATTTAGAGTAATTATTAAAATTAGTAACTAGTAATTATTATAAATTGCTAATTTAATTTCCTAAACAATAATTTAACAACTCATTGAAAAAAACCAACAGAAAATGTATTTGTTGTTAAATACAGAGGTGATTATAAAAAGTATTGTATAGGATACATAATATATATATATATATATATATATATATAGTGTGTGTGTGTATGTATTTTTTTAATTAATTTCTGTACCTATTATTAGAGTGAGAGCAAGTTATTTCATTGTTATCATTCATATATCTGTTCAGGAAGACCGCTGACTGATGTATTAACGGAAAACAAATGTTGGATCCACCTATGCCATGTGAAAACATTTGGAACATCTAGTGCTGTTTACGTCATGACCAAAAAATAAGCAATAATAAGCTGATATTATTTTTCGAGTGACATAATTAAAATAATTACTCTCTACTGATTATTTCATTTATAACAAGCAATGTAATTTCATTTACATTGTCATGTACGATGTGTAAAATTAAAGGTTAAACTCTTATTTTTCCCTTGAAAATACTCCTGCTGTTCAATGATATGCAAAATATACCGTATATCAGCAAGCAAGGCTTAGCTGCAACGCTGCCGTTCTGACATGTAATGCAATAAAATATTAGACAGTCAAACTGCTGACTCAACTTTACACCTATTAACATATAAATTGCCTGTACACGTTTAGATAGCAAGCATTGCTATTTATGTTGTGTTATGATAGACACTTTAAATCTATAACTTTTGTAGAAATATAGCAATGTCAGGTGTAATATTGTGTGATGATGTAAGGATGTATTTTACAAGCACATATTGTCTCTATGAACTGTCAACGCAAGGGAAAAAAAATAAACTTTTATTTACTAAGTGTATTGCTTGTACTTGTATTCCAAATGTAAAGGAGGTTTAGTATATCTAGCCCAAAATGTTTCAAATCTGCTAAAAAACAACAACACTTGGTTTACACATTTGCTTTGTGATTTTAATGTGTCAACTTTGCACATTAACAATATAAATTAAGAGAAAAAATGTAAACATGAACACCCACAAATATTTAACAGTTAGCGTTTCTTATAACCCACCCTAATTTTCTGTTCTTAAAATCATTCACAAGCTGTTCTTACAATCATATCAACTAATGGCTACTCTCACACTATTGTTGAAATAATGATTTAGACACAAATTACACAGTCATTGACATGCTGTACAGAAGATTACAGTTTAATCACAGATCATTTATTTCCAAGAAGCAAAATGGCAGTTAAATTTACACCCACATCTTTGGGAGTATCTAATGAGCATATTTATTTTTTCCCAGTCAATGTGAACATATTTATCAAACATAAGCTCTTACTATAAGCGTAACGTATTACCTTTTAAGCATGCACTGTGAAAAAACTCATGGTCATTTATTTTTTGCTCTATTCTCAAATAAATTTATTTTACGTAGTGCATATATGCATTATATGTATATCTAACTGAACAACTATTAAAACACAATCTATAAAATATTTTATGTAGCCCAATAATTTAAAGGGATTTTATGGAAGCTTGTTTCCTCCATGGGATAAAAAATTGAAGGTTTGAAGGTATTTGTGATTTCTTATCTCACAATTCTGAGAAAAAAAATATTGTGAGATATAAAGTTAGAATTGCGACATATAAACTTGCAATTCTGAGAAAAAAAAAAGGTTGTAATAGTAAGATACAAACTCGCAATTGCAAGAAAGTCTTATCAGAAGTCTAGGTGATGCATTTGTACCAAAAAAAACAAAAAACTATGTGTGTGGCGGTATGTGTTACGCATGGTAAGCATAGAGGAAGATGTTGATGCACATGAGAATGATGGCATTGACACAACAGAAACGAGACCAGAAGGGATCGTCTCTGGTGCTGTGAATTATAGGAGGTGGCGTCCCGGTTGCAAATCGTCCAGGTCGAGGGCTACAGAACCCAGCGGTGCGGACACACTTACCCCTGCGCACAGACTCACAGCCTAAACAAAAATGCTGAATGTGAAATTAACTGGCAAGGGAGCTGTACGGTGATAGTATCAAATGGTAATACCATAGTGCTTTGTTATATACTAGAGTACTGAATGATTGCATGTTCATAAACTATGGGATTTACATGCTTTCTAAGGTTCTTGAAGGAATACCAAAGTATTATCATGGTATACAATTTCGAAAACCTGACTTACAGTACTTAAAAGGCTTTATAGCTGATTTAAATCACATATTGCATGATTGTATGCTGAGACATTAATTTTAAACTTCATTACAATTTTCTAACGTTGTGTTTGGTAAAATAATCCACTGTATGCAGTAAGCTTTCATTCAAAACCAGGAAAATGACAATTGGTATTTTTCTCAGTTCCTTGTGTGTTCTCACGCATATAAGACACTTTTGTTTTGTCAACTGATACACATATGTAGAACAGCACCACACCCTGATGAATAGGCCACAACAATCCTCATGAGATCTATCATGCTGTAAACTCCTCACACACCTCCGTTCTGTATTAGGAAGCTGGATTAGTGTGTGTTTGACTACTTGTGAAGTCCAAAATGTCCTCACTATTCAAAAATGTCCTTACTAATATAGTGAAACCTGTTGACTGACTAGTCCTTACTAGTTTATGAGGCTTGCTGTATAAATCAGCCAAATCATGTTTCTATTTAAATCTAGTTATATTTAAGGCTAGAGTTCTGTTTAGGTGATAGAAAATATCACTAAACCCAATTTAAAAACAATGGAAGTCTATGAGATGTCCACACTAATATCATGAAACAAATGTGTGTTCCATACCGTCTGTCCTGCAGCTAAGAGTAGCTACTTTCTGTAGAGGTATTTCTCTCTCAGTGCTGTTATGTAGAGTCCACCAGGTAAGATTATGTGTCTGAAACCAAATCAAACACAAGCCACTTGAGACATGATATACCGTATACTATGGGGTTTTATTAAATTTAGTAAATCAATAAAATTTCAAACAAATCTCAAAGGAAGGGATTGATTAAGAATTCTACGAGTACAATTAAGAGTATACTAAGAGTATACTATAGTATACTAAGAGTATAGTATAGTTTTAAGTTAAAACCGTAAAACCTAAAACGTTTTTTACGGTAAAATTCCGGCAACCACAGCTGCCGGATTTTTACCGTAAATTTTACGGAATTTTTTTTACAGTGTAGGCTATCTTTGAAATGGCATACTACTATACTATTTTTTATTGTTTCTGCAGTATATAATGCACAGGTTTTTTTTCTGAATATTTAATTCTGTAGCCTGTAATGCAATGCACTTGACTGAACCTTTCATTTCCAGTCAAACAAATGAAGTGAAATTAATATAAGCAATCATTTAAGCTCTTTTCTTTACTTGATCAGACTGTCAAGAGTTGAGACAATTTTGAACAAAACTGTAGCAAAATAAACCAGGAAATTGCAGAATTAAACATGCTTGCAATGAGGTCATGTGGCAACAATGTAGCATATTGCACTACTGTTTGCATAATGCAAAACTGTTTCACATACTGCATCAAGTACAGTACTATTTAAAAGTCTGATGTCAGTAAGGTTCTACTGAAAGAAATTAACACTATATTTAGCAAGGATGCATTAAAGGGTTAGTGCACCCAAAAATGAAAATTAGCCTGTGGTTTACTCACCCTCGAGGCATCCTAGGTGTATATGACTTTCTTCTTTCAGACGAATTCAATCGGAGTTATATTAAAAATTGTCCTGGCTATTCCAAACGTTATTGTTGCAGTGGGTGGGTGTTTCTGTTGAACAGTCAAAAGACGTCAAATAAAGCGCGCGCATCCATAATAAAACGTGCCTCACACTGCCCTGGGGGGTGAATAAACGCCTCCTGTAGTGAATCCATGCGTTTTTGTAAGAAAGATACCCATATTTCAAACGTAATAAACATTTCTCTCTCACTTCATCTAACTGTCATAAGCGGAAGCAGTTCCGGCGGATGACGTAGGACGTTGGTGTAGCGTGATTAGTGACGAACGCGGAGAGAGCACAAAACAAAACGCCGGTCACGAATTAGGCCCTGTCCCAAATGGCACACTTCATGTGCACTTTCAGTCTTGAGGACTTACAATGGCCGCTGCGTGCGCGTGTCCGTTAAGTCCACGAGACCGTAGGGTGTCCCATTCGTCATTTTAGTGTTCAGAAGGGTGCTCACGAGCTACGCAGCCAATTTCTACCCGGCAGTCAAAGCGGCATTACATCACGAAAGTGCGGACTCTGAGGAAGACCGTGAGGGTTTAGGGTGCCATTTGGGACAGGGCCTTAGAAGTACAAACCAAGGATTTGTAAAGAAAAATGTCGGAGGATTTCGATATAAGCCAAGAGGAGACTGGTTTTCCTTTGCTAAAGTAAGGAAACTTTGCTTCCTTTGCTCCTGTGAACAAACTCGCTAGACTAGCATATCTCAGAGGCGCGTGCTGCGCATACATCCTGTGTCATCCGCCCGGAATGGCTTCCACGTACGACAGATAGCGGAAGTGAGAGAAAAGTTTTAATTACATTTGAAATATTGATATTTTTCTTACAAAAACGCATGGATTCGCTACAGGAGGCCTTTATTCATGCCCCGTAGCCATGTGAGGCACGTTTTATTATGGATGCGCGCACTCTATTTGACGTCTTTTGGACTGTTCAACAGAAACACCCGCCTACTGCAATGATAACGCTTGGAAGAGCCAGGACAATTTTTAATATAATAATTATAATAATAATAATAATTTTAATTTTAATATAATATCCAATACCTCCGATTGGATTCATCTGAAAGAAGAAAGTCATATACACCTAGGATGCCTCGAGGGTGAGTAAAACACATTTTCATTTTTGGGTGCACTAACCCTTTAAATTATTTAAAAGTGACAGTAAAGACATTTATGATGTCACAAAAGATTTCTATTTCAAATAAATGCTGCTCTTTTAAACATTCTATTCAATAAAGAATCCAGTTTCCACAAAAATATTAGGCAGCTCAACTGTTTTTAACTTTGATAACAAGAAATGTGTCTTGAGCATTTTAGAATGATTTCTGAAGGATCATGTGACACTGAAGACTGGAGTAATGATGCTGAAAATTCAGCTTTGCCATCAAAGGAATACATGACATTATAAAATATAATTCATAATAAAATATATTAAATTAGAAGACAGTTATTTCCAATTGTAACAATATTTCATAACATTACAGTCTTCAGTGTATTTTAGGTCAAAAATGCAGCATTGGTTAAGGGACTTCTTACAAAAACATAAAAAAAAACTTACTGACTCCAAACTTTTGAAAGGTAGTAAACACCATTCTGAACAAAGTCAAAGTCTAAAGGTCAGATAAGGAGCTACAAGAATTATTATTATTTTTTAATATTTGTTAAAAATTCTTCTTTTTTTAAATCTATGAAAGCATTACCTGGCATAAATGTTATTACCTGTTCGTCGGTGGGTGGAGGGGTCAGTAGACTGATCACCACCACAACAATAATAGTCAGGGCACAGAGTATGATGGCAAAGTGCAGGTAGTGTACACTCCTCAAGACAGAGGGAGCAGGGTCAAAAACACCACAGCGAGGGGGAGGAAACACAAACTCTAGAACCATCCGCGTCAATCCCACCGCTAGACCCACCATCAGGCCCCAGAATGCTCCCTGCTTACACAATACCAAACAAACACACATGAGGAAAACTCTTCAGGAAACCTCTTAGCATTTACATGTATGAATTTGGCAGACACTTTTATCCACAACTTGCATTGCATTTAAGATACACATTTAATCAGCTTCTTGAGAATTGAACCCATGACCTAGGCGTTGCGAGAGTCATGCTCTACTGTTAGAGCTACAGGAAGACTTAGCATTCTCTGGTGCTCTACATACCAACAGTGGTGTTCCTTTTACTCAGTGTGTTATATGAGCGTGGGAGACTGTTAAACTAATCATTTATTTTTAAACATTTCAGGTATCTTGAGAGGATGCACTAAATGAACTGAGCTGAGATTCCTGACGTGACAGGCTCTTATGTGCTTATTTAATGTACTTAAGGGTGGAGTGAGGTGTGAAAGTCCCTTGACAAACAGCAATTCCTGTGAAGCATGTCATATTTCAGTTATATTTATTCAAGTGTTTTGCCAAAAAATGTGTAAAGACAGTAGATATGAACTATTATGGAAGTTAAACTGATTTTATTCTTGTACATTTTGTGTCACTGACTCACACGGATGCACTTACACAAATACGTTCACTGTAACGATTTATTTCTTACCCTATGAATGTCACCCGGCCAGTTTTAGTTTCTTTAGGCAGGCTTCTTTTTTGGTGGGGTGGGGGGACATTAGCTTTCGCCATAACATGGCCTAACCTTAAACCAATGTTAAAGTTCTCTACTTACTGGCTTTTTTCCAGAGCAATTATACTTGTCTGAGATCTCACAAACTAAAATGGGTATTTCCTTTTTGCTATGGGGGACGGAGGATAGCTTTGCACTAAATTATCCTTCAGGGTAAAAACGAACAGGCATTTTGAAATCCCACCCTCACAGTTTTAAAGCTCTTAAATGTTTAGTTCGACAGGTTTTCATTCTTTTGTTAAACTGCCTGGCTAACAGCTAATCTTTTGCTAAGTTACAGACAATGTGAGCAGATACGGTCACTCTAATGCAGTCAATGAGAAAACTGCAGTTTGTTCTTTGTAAAACATCCAAGATAATCAGCCTGGTACACCACAATTCTTCTGAAACATTCATTCTAAGCATATTTTTCAAAACACATTGGGTTTGGGGGGATTTCACAGAATCGAACGAATCACATGACCTTTTTTTTTCTGCACTCTCACACAATGTTTCTCCTGTTCTAAGAATATATCTTGTTTATTCCCAGCAAAGAGATCTATCTATCTATCTATCTATCTATCTATCTATCTATCTATCCTTTTCACTGTAACATTATTATACTAATAAACAGGATAGAAGACCACTGTCACACGCATTTGGAAAGATTTTACTGAATGAAAAAATAAAATGCAGCTTAGACACGGGTGTGACTTATCAATGTTTTTTCCCTTTTTAAAAAACACAATATATAATGACTCAGCGACACCAATAAAATGGCTTATATTAAGGTGTGACCTACTTTCTGTTCAATAAAAGTATCTATCTTCTCAATCACTTCCAAGTGAAAGTTACGCTCTCTTTTGCTGTCATTCAGACATGTACTCACTCTTTGTGTGTTTTAACAGACAAATACACACACCCTCACTAATGTGCTACATTAAAATAGGCAGACATTCTTTCTTCACGAGAGAGAAGTGGTTTCTTCGAATGCATGTGAGTGTTTAATTTTGGTATGTCAATATGTACATAGTCTAAGTGAGGCCTCAGACTGTGTTTATGTGTGTGCATTATCGCCTCATTAGTTCTTTTCCAGAAAACAGCCATTACAAAAATGGCAGTAACAGGAGGGGCTAGATAGCTGGTTACTGACTGGATGTAAACATACAGCTGACCGCTGTTAGCACTCTGAAGAATCGGGATCCAAACCACGCTAATCACCACCAAAATAACAGTCACTATCCTGGAAAAACAAATGGACATACATTTTATGATCATCTTCAGTTTCAATCACAGTTCTTAATATGGAAAATGAAAGTCATTATGTTAATGACTTTAAAGTTAAGTTCTACTACAAAATCTAAATCCTATTGGACCCTATTAGTAATATTTGCTGATTAATTTCTATTAATCACTATTATTCGGCTATTAGTCTTCCATTTTCTAGTTCTATAAATACATATTTGTGGTTTTATTTCCATTTAAATAGATCCCAACCCAATGACAGGGCATAAATATCAGCTAATCTAAACGATTAATCTGCCCCTCCATGTCTAGCTCATACTGCATTTTTGAGGCTATGAATCATTTCTACATTCTTTCATGTAATTGCTTTTGAATAAAAAACACCATGATGTTGGATCTTAGACAAGTAACCTTTATGCATTACACAATGATTAATGATTTTAAATAGGTGACACAATTCCGTGCATGAAATGCAAACAAACACAGTCATAAACACCTGCCAACTAGCAGCAGCTCCTTCTCACTAGCACCTCTTCGATACTTCTTCCAGATGTCCATGGTGAAGAGGGTGCTACTGCTGTTAAAGATGGAGGTCAGTGATGACATTAAAGCAGCCATCATTACAGCTATCATTAACCTTCTGAGGCCTGGAACACACATGTACAATTGCATGATTTATGCTAAAAAGACCATGCCATGGACTATGCATTTGGTAAAGTACATGTTAACAATTCAAACATATACACAATTTGAAAAAACAAAAAGTGATTCTGATTACCGCTGGGTGTGTGTATATATATGTGTGTGTGTATATATATATATATATATATATATATACACACACAGGGATACAGTGCCTTGCAAAAGTATTCATACCCCTTCATTTTTTTCACGTTTTGTTGCTGCCTTATGTTAAACTGCTTTAAATTACCTTTTTTTTTCTCCACATCAATTTACACTCCATACACCATACTGACAAAGCAAAAACAGAATTCTCACAACTTCGTAAATTTATTAAAAATAAAAAACTGAAATAAGCACATTGCATAAGTATCCATACCCTTAACTAAATATTTAGCTGAAGCACGTTTACAGCCTCAACACTTTTTTGTTTGATGCGACAAGCTTTGCTCATCAGCATTTGGAAATTATCTGCCATTCTTCTCCTCGCCTCTTCACCTCTCAAGCTCTGTCATGTTGGATGGGGGCAGACACACATTTTCAGGTTTCTCCAGAAATATTTGATTGGGTTCAAGGCCAGGCGGTGGCTGGGCCACTCAAGGTGTGTGCTTAAGGTCATTGTCCTCTTGGAAGGTGAACCTTCTCTCCAGTCTGAGGTTCTGAATGCTCTGGACTAGGTTTTCATTAAGGCTATCTCAATATTTTGGTGCATTGAGCTTTTCTTCTTCTTTGATATGCCCCTCAGTCCCTGCCACTGAAAAACAGCCCCACAGCATGAGGCTGCTACCAGCACACTTTACTTTTGGGATGGTATTCTGCAGGTGATGAGCAGTGCCTGGTCTCCTTAAAACATGATGCTTGGAATTGAGGCTCATCAGACCAGAGAATTTTGTTTCTCACAGTCTGAATGTCCTTCAGGTACTTTTTTTTTGTACATTCCAAATGTGTTTTCATGTGTCTTCACTGAGGAGAGTATTGAGTCTTGCCACACCGCCATGAAGCCCAGATTGTAGAGTGTTGTAGTGATGTTTGTCCTTCTGTAGGTACAGGTGCATCTCAATAAATTAGAATGTCGTGGTTTTTGTTAAATGTGAGCCAAAATCCTCACAATGAAAAGAACCAAAGACTTAAACTACTTCAGTCTGTGTGCACTGAATTTATTTAATACACGAGTTTCACAATTTGAGTTGAATTACTGAAATAAATGAACTTTTCCACGACATTCTAATTTATTGAGATGCACCTGTATCTCCTATCTCCACATATGATCATGGATCTCAACTAGAATGACCATCAGGTTCTTGGTCACCACAATAACTAAAGCCCTTCTCCATCAATTGCTCAGTTTGGCCAAGAGGCCAGCTCTAGGAAGAGTCCTGGTTGTTTCAAACTTCTTCCATTAAGGGTAACAGAGACAACGTCTACATGCTTCTGTGACCCTTCAATGAAGCAGAATTTTTTTCTGAACTCTTCCCCAGATATGTGGCTTGACACAAACCTGTTTCTGAGCTCTACAGGCAGTTCTTTTGACCACAGGGCTTGTTTTTTTGCTCTGATATGCATTAACAGCTGTTAGACCTTTTATTAAGACGTGTGTGTGCTTTTCCAGATCATACCTATTCAACTGAATTTGCCACAGGTTAAATTCACTTGAAGTGTAGTAACATCTACAAGCAATATGAATGGTCTTGAGCTAAATTTCAACTGTCCCAGATAAGGGTATGAGTCCTTATGCAATGGAATCATTTAAAGCTGCAGTCCGTACATTTTGCCTCTTTGTCGCCATCTTGTTTGAAAACCTGCAATTGCAGCTGTTTGCGGAATTATTTTCCTTGCGTGGGTTGTGCGCCGGCGCGGCTCCAGCGCAGATGAATCTAATGTTTTGAGGAGTATGTGTGGCAATCAGTCAGCGCACCGATGTGGATATTCACTGTACTTCAGAATCACAGATTCTAGCCTACGTCTTGGAATATATGACCCAAATAAGAATTTTCACAGAATATTGTCATCTGTGCTCGAATTTCCCGCGAAAACCTACCCGTACCACTCAAATTAGAAAACATTATTATAAGCTAACCGTTGTTAATCGGGCTAAAGTAAGGCGATTGTTTTGAACACTGACTGGTTATGTACTTGCTCAAATATTGATTTCGGATAATTTTGAACCAAAAAAATTTATGGACTGCAGCTTTAAGTTTTTATTTTTAATACATTTGCAAAGATGTTAAAAACCTGTTTTTTTTGCTTTAGCATTATGGCGTATGGAGTGTAGATTGATGTGGGAAAAAAAGTAATTTAAAGCAGTTTAACACAAGGCAGCAACATAACAAAACGTGAAAAAATGAATACTTTTGCAAGGTACTGTATATATATATATATATATATATATATATATATATATATACACACACACACACACACACAGTGGGGGCCACATTGTTTATTTACATTTTTCTTAAAACTGACTGTTTTAAGTCAGTTATTTCTCTTTTGCTGGTGTCAGTATTATCAGTTTACATTTCCAAACATTCATTTTGTCATTAATTGTAATAATCCAGTGAGATTTTTGTTTGCACAAGGA